TGCCTAGTTGTAAAATTTTACATATTCTAGAGGAATTGTACAAAGCCTAATAAAGCTAAGGCATAACTGCTGAATTTTAAAAAAAAAAATAAAATAAAAAAATAAAAGTAAAATAGTTTAATAAGGCTAATACATTAATAGAAATCAGAGTATATCACATTGTTTAAGCTAAACAAAATTATATTAAAACTATCTAAATTTATATTTAAATAAATCAGTTAATTTACATTGTTTAAGCTAATCCAAATTTATTTTGAAATAATCTAATTTTTGCTTTTATAGAAATCAGATTAAATTGAATTGTTTAAACTAATTTTATATTTAAAGTAATTAGTTAATTCACATTGTTTAAGCTAATTCAAATTTATTTTAAAATGATCTAATTTTTGCTTTTATGAAAATCAGATTAAATCACATTGTTTAGACTAATACTAATTTATTTTAAAACTATCAAGAGTTATTAAAATCAATTATAAAGCATGATGGCATTTAAAATTATAATAAATTAATATATGCCAAATGTATTTAATATAATAAATTTGATATAATTTAATAAAAAAAAATACTTTATATTAATTAATAAAATACATTGAGCCTTAAATAACAAATGTAAAATAATAAAACTGATTATATTAGTTAAATTATATATGTTTAAAAATAATCAAAGTTAATAAATTTATTAATATCTTGCTGCATTGCAAGATAATTTAATTACATTAGAATAATTTTAAAAGGATTTAAATAAACTCACTTTAGCTATTTTTCTCTTTATAATTTTCCTATCAATTTAATTTTCATTACATTTTTCATTTTAATATTCTTACACTCACTCAAACTATCTTTTATCATTCATGTTTTCATTAATTTTATAATTTGACTTTACCTATTTTATTATATCTATATCACATTAAATCGCATTATCTTTATATTATTATTTTTTATTTTTTTTATTTTTATTTTTATTTATTTTATTTTATTTTTTATTTTATATTCTTTATTATTTTTATATATTATATACAAAATGTCAGCTGATAGACCAGGCAAATTAGAAAGAAATGCTGCTAAAAGAGACCAAGAATTTTTAGCATTGATAGCTATTAGTACAGTAATTCAGACAAATAAAGAGCAAGTTGCTGTGCAACCTCGTGAATCAATAGGCTCGTCATCTACTAATATTCTACTTACTTCTGATAGTTAAATTTTATTATTTAATTTAGTTTATTTTGTTAATTTTATTTATAGTGTTTTTAATTTAATTTATTATTTAAAATAATTTAAGATCAAACAACATTGGCTGATATTAAGGATTTGTTACTTGATTTACAAGAGGAAGTTTGTAGATTAGGTCACAAGGTTTTGAATATAGATAGCTGAATTGCATCTGGTCTAAACTATGAAAATGAAATTAAATTAGTTAAAGTAATTATTATTTTTATTTATTAATGTTTATAATTAATTTAATTTAGAAAATTACTAAATATACATGGGGTGTTTGAAACACGGGTATGATTTATAATTAATTTTTATTAAAAAATATAAGTAAACATTAAATATTTTAATTAATATTAGTGTTAAAATTGGAGGTTATAGTTAACAAAAGACATAGTTTATAGTAAAATTTTACAAGGAATTTTTTTTCTTAGACCTCAAAAGATGGTTTTATAAGCTAAATTTTTAGATATCATTATTTTTTTATTTTTTCTTTATTTTTGTTGTACAAAAAATGATCTACATACTGCATTTAATTTTATATTTTAATTGGCTTTTCTATTTAGTTTGTGTAACTATGTGTTTAAACACTCCATGTACAAATAGTAATTGTCTTTAATTTATATTAATATTATTTAATTTTAATAGCATATGTGCGCTGCAGTTACTAAGTCACTTAATACTACTAATATTTACCCATCTGAGGATGAAATTAAAGAAGCAACTGAAGAGTATCTTGATGATAAAGAACTAAACTTTTGCAGTATAATGGAAAATATGCAATAAATATATTTTAAGAAAATAAAATAGCTAGCCCTGTAATAGTTTTATTTATTTTGTAATCTTTCACATATAGTATAATTATATTTATTTATTTGAATTTGTATCATTATTTTTCTTATTTTTTATATAATTTGATATTTATCATTTTCTAATAATATTAGTATAATGCGCACTAATTTGAATCTTTTCTATTAATATTCATTTAATCATTATATTTAGTTCCTTGCCCAACTTCGTTCTCATCAAAGTTGTGTTACTTCAAAAATTAAGAAAGCAATTTACTCTGTTTATGGTGCTTTATTATTAGACCGACTCGATCCTAATTCATCTACAAAGGTTATTTCTGATTGTAAAGTATCAAATAAAACTAAGTGCGCCTTTAAATTGCTTCATAGAAGAATAAATGTGGCAGATTAAAATGAAATCGGATTAAAATGAAATTTTTCTATTTTTTTAGGAAAATTTAAAATTTTTT